AAAGGACCCTACTTTGGGGAGTTGTTTCTTCTTTCACAGTGCAATGATGCAACATGTTTTTAATAGAAATGAATGCCGAAATAGAGTATAACAGGGTACCCAAATTTAAAAAAAATCGAAGGTGGTGTTTTTTTTTTTTATTCGCATTGGAATTTTTCTTTGTTTGATTTTTTTCCCATGTTTGCCTAAATATATTGTAACTATTGTGTCACTCAGATACCTTATTTATTTTTTCAATAATAGCCATATATTAGTAAAATAATGTCTGCAAGTTTTGTAATAATGATTAAATTATTTCATGAGATACAGATTTCCAAAGTTTGCCATTTGTCGTTCGAGCAGGCATATTTGGCAATTTTTAGAAAACTAAATATATTTTTAATAAATATTATTACTTTATATTACAAGCAAGTTGTACCCATAGTTTGTTTGTAAAACGTTTTAAAATTCTCCTAATTTTATTGTTTTAATTATTCACTTTCAAACTTGCCCCCTCCATCAGTGCGCGTTATTGCAACTGTCCACCTCTCCCTGCCTTACGATTTTTCTTGTCTCCAAATTTTTTTTTCTGGTCAAAACTAAGTGTGGATTCGTTTATACCAGACACTAGACAATGTCATATAAAAACATCAGTTGATTTAAAAATGTCGACCAGCCACCCTTTGGTCGGTCTTATCTGAAATCACCCCGCAACAACTATCTTGCTCAAGCAGTTATGAGTTGTATTTGTCCCGGTGTCCCTGTCGTATTTGTTGTATTCTTTGTTTTCGTCGTTTTCGTTGCGGTAAACGCAGTAGACGCAAATGTCTGAATCAGCCCTAAATATAAATATAGCACGTACTTTTTGCCAGAACGTAAAAAACTAATCAATTTTTCTTTTAAAATTTGTTTAGATATGGAAGGTAGTTCCCTCAAACAATTTCAATGCTTCCAACCATGTGCTTCGCAAAAGCGGAAAATCGCATGTGTTCTGAAGTAATGTGAAAGGGTGCGCGAAATTTCGCATGTGCGTTTCATCGCTCCAACGATTTCGTAGAAGAAAATCGCACCATGTGAATCATGCTTAACTCGTTCGGTGCCGCACTCGGCGGCCGCCGCCGTGCGTGCGCTATGCCGTACTCGTCGCTTGCATACCCAAAAGCTAGCGAGTGGAAAACGAGTGAACTCGTTCGGTGCCGTACTCGGCAGCTGTCGCCGTGCGTGCGGTCTTCCGTACTCGTCGCTAGGCCTAAATTGTCTTCGGGGCTCCATGGATGGAGCGGCGTTGCTCTACGCCGCGCTGCCAGTGACGTACAGTACTGGTGCCCTCTCGCTTTAGCGCTGCGGGTCAGTCCCACCCACGTAGCATCCAATGTCGTGCGAACATTCCCTGGGTGTTCTGAATGTTGAAGGAACGTTAAAACACCATTCGGAACGTTCTAGGAACGTTCGTATGCGAACATTCCTTACAAGGTAAGCTGCTCAACATTCTAGAAACGTTTGTTGGCGAACATTCGTATGCACAATGTTCTTGGAACGTTCCCCTTTGAACATTCATATGTGCAACATACTCGGAACGTTCGCTTGCCAACATTCCTAGAATTTTCGCAGGTGAAGCCAACTTTACGGAGCTTTCAAGCAACCTGTGTTTCGAAACACCATCCACGATATGCCACCTTGTGCCAAAAATATGCAAATTAAGTGTAGGTTTTGGAAACTTAGCATAAGGGATCAGTTTTATCTTATACGAGTCTACCGAGGAATGTGAGATAAGGTGTAAGAGAAAAGTAATGGTCTTCAAAATTTGATAATGAGCTTGGCACTCACTGCGTATGTAGAGGGGCAGTTTTGAATAGACCTGATTTTTAGCATCTCGGATTCAATACCTTGAAGAAGGAATGTCCCGCTTGAGTGTGAAATGCCGTAGGTATCTGTTCTTATGCTCGGAGTGAGTAATCGGTTATGTATGCAGCACGTTTTATAAGTAGGAGTAAACTGCCGTTATAGTACAGGCTCTGGCTAATGCGCTAGAAAAGCGGCTAGATTGCGCTAGGCCTGGAAACAATATATTCCGATTAAAAAATGTTGATCGCTGTGTGAGGAGATTTATTATATGAATATATGTAGTACGGCTCAGTGGCGCTGTAAGCTATGCAAGCCATAATTGTGGAATCTTTGAAACATTCCTCAGAGAATGTTGCAGATGTCTGACAGGGTATTTATGCTCGCCGAGGTTTTTAGTTGTACGTGACATATGGGAGCTCAACTACCCAGAACAGAATTTGCAGCTCGAAATTTGGTTTCTTTCCGCCCGAAAACCGCCGATCAAGAATTGGCCGGTTCGAGTCTCGCTCACTCTCTTTTTCGCGGTCACGGGCCGTTTTCTAAGGTATCGATGCAACCACCAAATTTAATCAAAGTCGTGGGTCACTGAAGGCACACACTAAATATTAAAAATAGAAAAAAATATGAAACCCATTTTTTGTGGCTTCTAAAAAGCTGTAAATACGTTGATTGAAAAAAAAAGTTCCACAGACAACCGGAAGCATTCTGTGCGTTCGTCGTTTCGCGTATCGTGGGACTCGCGGGAACGGCGATGGCAGCGGACGACGGGCGTGGGACCTCTATTTCAGAACTGTCGTTCGCGGTACCGGCGAATTCTGTCTACCGTTAAAAGAGAAATTTGGGACTGATCAAAAGAATTGGTATTCATCCTGTACGACACGCCCGGCCCTCCAAGCCGATTTGCACGAAGACGTCGCCGAGCCGTCGCTCCCTTCTCGTGGCTGAAGACAACGCTCGCGCAAACGTCAAGCACGACGTGTCTACTTCGAGTTGAATATGCACGCGTACGATTTCTTTACTAGGTGCGAATGTCCCCAAAGCGTGGTGCTTCCCGACTTCGACCCGGGAGTGCTTTTGCTAGAGAAAAATCGACAGCAAACTTTCCAAGTTACAGTTTACCGGCTGAATTATTACTAAGGAAAGAGAACTACTAAAAACGGGATGCCCCCAGTAGCTCAGTGGGAAAGACGTCCGCTTCAGACGCGGTGGGACCGGGTTCGATCCCCCGTTAAGTTTTTTTGTTTTTTTCAAACATTTTCCGATGTTTACATATCTCTCTTTTTTTTTTTTTTACAATCATCACTGAAGAAACGAACAAAAAAATAAACAAATGTTGTGGACGATACTTCGCTGAACTAAACGGTATGGGATTTCCGTTTTGACACTTGCGAACTCAATGTAATCACTTTCCACAAAATGCAAGGAGCATATAAATCAGGTAGCGTCCGCTTTCCGAGGTGCCCGTATATGTTCTACAGGAATTGCAGCCAGCCATTGGTCCCGATCCCGTTGATCTTTCGGAAACTCTGTCGCACAATGCCACTTTTTTTTCGGATGCAGGACATGTGAGCCAACTCTTCACGCAACATCTTGGGTTTATTCTTTTCGGAGCCGATGATGGAAATTCACCACGGGCACTCACTACTCATCTCCAACTCCTCAATGTACAAAACAACTCATCTTGGAGTACAAAACAACGAGCGGAACAAACATAACTGCAAAAGAATCGCACGGCACGCACGCCGTATCGCACGCCGTGTCGTCTGCTACCGAAGAGGAGAGAAAAAAAAACAAAACGCACGGTCGGGTGCATAGAGGTCGGGTGTAGCCACGTGACTTCCGCCAGTCACTCTCTTCTCTCCACTTCTCCGACCTCCGTCGGGTTTCGGTTTCGGTTTCGAGCAGTTGCGTCTTTTGGCTTTATTAAAAAAATACGCTACTCTGTTGCAAAATATTAATTGGGTAGTCCTCCGACACCATAATGAAGCGCCTGGCAAAAAATAAAAAAAAATTTTTGGGGGGTGTCAGTGTCCCTACCTTGTTAGTATGGTGATTAAATGTTCTGTCGTGCTCAGAACGTTCTAAAAATATCCCATAGAAAACATTCCTCGAATGTAGCGATAAGTGCCTGCGCCACATTCTGACAACGTTGATAGAATGTCCTTACGTAAATCTTAAACGTTCCAAGAATGTTGTCTATGTTATTTTGAACATTCCCGGAATGTTCTCAGAACGTTCTCGTGCTACGTGGGCAGACACGAAGCTTTGAGGCTCTCCAGAGTGGGCCGCGGCGCCCGAACTCTCGTCTGCTGGGCTGTACACATCTGTTTTTTTCGTTCTTTTTTCCTCGGGCGCATAAAAGCCGAAGTCCAAAATCCACTCGTCGAACAGCGTTCATCCACACCTTCTCCAATTTCCGGTCCGTAGGAAACTTGTGAAAAAGCACCTCCGGGTTGTGCAGCGGGTTGTTTAAGCAGCCCACAGCGCTACAAGTTGTACTCGGCATCTTTCGAGGAACAGCTGGGCAGTCTTGGGCGCACCGAGTTGCTCAATGACTCAACACGCAAATCACAAGCCGAAGTAGCTGTGGTACCGGCTCAAAGAAGCGCACTCCGCACAACGCCCGGACCGAAGGAAAAAAAAGAGAGCGATACTGACGTCACGGCCTAATGTTGCTTTAGCGATCGGCAACCCGCTGGCCGCCCGCTAAGGAGCAGAGGCTTGTGGCGCGTCGCATTTTTATTATCGGCATTAGTTGAAAATGCGGCGTCCCATGGACGTAATATTTTGGCTAGGGTCGTATTTTGTGTCACTACAGCGCTACCAGTAATTTATTTCATATTGAGTTTTGGCCGGAGTTGCCCTTTAAACTGCAACGTCACGGCGCACGCAATGCTTTCGTTTTCTTTTCCCCTTTTACTGCGCTCTCGAGCTGCTGTGGAGGGACATGGTTTCAATGCAACTTCCAATACATCTTTTTAGGCAATATGGGCATAAAGTAGCCCACTTTTTGTGATATCGGTGATGTTTCAAGTTGGATTAAACAGAATCAAGTGTTCGCAATGAAAATCGGAACCGCTTTAGCTTCTCTGTATAAGGACCGACCCGACTGCGTTTCTCTCTGCAGTTTCCCTTCCTTGAAAGCCAGAATGATGAATGTTGAAGGAAAGCCCGGCATGTCGCCACTGGAGCGCTGGACCAACCACTGGGACACCGGCAGTATTCCCTGGCAGCTTGACCACCTGTTTCCGTAAGCAAAAAAAAAAAAGAACGCCTATTTTTTTTTGGTACACTCCAGAAGGCACTCTGATCACTTAGCATTTGTAGGTCCTCTCTCTCATCCTGATGCCTCGTGACGTCATTGTGTCAGGTGACAGCACGCTCTCCTGAGCGTTCACACTGTCACTCGACTTCACAATGTCACGTCATCACCCTCTCTTCGTCAAGGATCGCCATCTTCTCCGTCGAGGCTACATTCCACGCACTGACCAGTGTACTAGCTAGAGGCCAAAGACCCGCTCATGACGTCATCGTTTGTGGATCCCCGACCCGCCCCAAGCGGCAAACACTCGAAGCTCGACGGAAGTCGTCGCCAAGCCGCATGTCTTGGCGCCGCGCCGCGTGCTAGCGTCGTGCTCGTTGCGACGCGCTGCGAAACGCGCTAGTGGTGACACTGACGCAAAGTACGCAGCGCTGCCCATGGATCCACCAGCGATGACACTTGGAGAGGAAACTTGCAGCCCTTGTCTTCTAGTAGGTATGGCACTGCCACCGAAGCCCTAAAGGCTGTCCCTATAAATGCTATGCATTTGAAAGAAGTTGATGACTCGGCCCGAACAGGGTAGAGCGAGAATTCGTCTTATACGGCGCACAGGTTTGTCCGGTTCCGGCGGACCTCGTACGTTTACCTGCCGCATGCGCCGACGTGCATTTTTTCCCCGACCTCAATTATTGACGACATGCCATCGAGCGTTCCCTGCGTGCCGTCGGGGTGCCCTTTGATTGGCGTGTCCCGCACTGCGTTTCAATGCGCAGACGCAATTTCGAACACTTGCTCGCCGTATACTCTTGCATCCGTTTCACGGGCATCTAAAAGACCTTCAGATAGAACTCGTTTAAAGGGACCATAAAATGACCTTTTTGCTTTAGCCAGATAACTTTTACATTCAACGTTCAACGTTCACTGAATGCCGAACAGGCATCCGTTTCGGTTTATTAAGGTGTATTCACACGAAGGACTTTGTCCGCGGACACGTTCCTACAAAAGGCGTGACGTCACCTCTTCTGGGGTATGAAATCGGCCATGTTTCTGGCGAAAACAGCCGTCAAAACCAAGGGACATGTCCACGGACCTGAAGAACATGTCCTCGAACCTGATGTATCTTGCGTATCACGTGGGCGAACGTGACAGATTATGTCCGCGGACCTGCCGGACCACGATTATAGGAGTTTTGAACGCGATCCAATTCTGCCTTTTTTCGAGTCCGCTGTGGCCCGCGGACAGGCCCGCGAACCGATCGCGTGAAAGTGCTCGTGGTACACTTCGTTGCACGAGCGGTTTTCTCTTTTTTTTTTATATGCCTCTCACGATTTTCCAACACGGATGAGCCTTTGCTCATTTTCCAGTACGATTAGTACGCACGAGCTACAGCTGTGGAAGATGCTCGAGGGTTCCTGCGCATGGTGGAAAAAGGAGCCGAAAAGAAAAAGAAAGAAAAGGACAGAAAATTGGTTTCGATACCAACATGGAGGCCAACAAGGCTTCGCGAGTTGTTGTGGCTTGTGCCATCATGATGGCGGATGAGGAAGTCGCGGAAGCACCTAATACCTACGCAAAGAAGCCATGGATTAAAGCATGGATGTCCAAGAAGAAGCTCGGTATAAACAATCTACAGGGTGTCACAAAAGAAAATTTACACTGTCTTTTTTACCGCAAAAATAAACTAGGCATCGCCGAATGCCCATTCTCTGCCCAAAGGTAGAGCTATAGGTCACAACCAGATGCCAAAGTTTCAGCCTGATCCGATAACTTAATCAAAAGTTATAAGTGATTTTCTGAAAATTTCAATGGGAAAATGGGGCCCATTTTTGCCCGTTTTCGGTTTCAGGTGCCATAGAGCCCCGTGTGTTTGAAAACTCCGTCGGCCGCCATTTTCCCATTGAAATTTTCAGAAAATCACTTATAACTTTTGATTAAGTTATCGGATCGGGCTGAAACTTTGGCATCTGGTTGTGACCTCTAGCTCTACCTTTGGGCGGAGAATGAGCGTTCGGCGATGCCTAGTTTATTTTTGCGATAAAAAAAACCGTGTAAATTTTCTTTTGTGACACCCTGTACTCAATCAAGAACTTCTGGAGAGCGACCCCGTAGAGTACCGTCGCTTTCGGCGCGTTAACTCCGACCAGTTTGCTGAGATTCTCTCGTCAATTGCATCATGCATTCAAAAACTTGACACTGAAATGCGTCCAGCCATCCCAGCCAAAAACAAACTTCAACTGCCGCTGCGGTTTCTTGCCTCAGTTGTGTGGTTATTCTTCTTACTTTTGTCCTTGTTTCAGCATATTTGAGAACTACGCTCGACTGTGCCGTGTTTCTTGTTTTCTTGCGAATTTTCAGGGGAAAGTCAACATTCCTTAAGCAGGCAGTTCCGCATTAGCCACAGCGCCGCCGACGGGTTCCTCGTTGAAACTTGCGACGCCATTTACAAGATGCTGGGACTAAAATATCTGATGTCCCCGCGGACAAAGGACGAGTGGCTGGCAGTAATGAGAACATTTTACGAAACATGGCAATTTCCGCAATGTATTGGAGCGCTGGACGGAAAACATGTCACAATTATCAGACCTTCAAACTCTGGATCTGTGTATTTTAATTACAAGAATACCTTCACTATTGTGCTTTTTGCTCTTGTGGACGCAGACAGCAGGTTTTTGTAGATTAATGTCGGCGCACCCGGGTCTGATGGAGATGGAGGCATTTGGAGGACGACACCACTGCGGAACGCCATCGAGAACGGAACAGCCGGATTGCCGATCTCTGGACATGTACCGGTCGACGTCCGACCCGTCATCGTGGGAGAGGACGCCTTCCCCTTGTCTATAAACTTGATGAATCCGTACACTGGTACAAATTTGGATGAAGAAAAAAATGCATTTAATTGCAGGTGTGTTGTCTACATCGTGTCATTTCTAAACATCGTTTTCCTTATAGTTTTATTATTTTTTTTTTTTTTCAGATTAAGTTTAGCCAGACGGGTAGCAGAAATGCGTTTTTCATTTTGACAAACCGTTTTAGGCTTTTGCACACCGATGCCGAACCAGAAAGGGTCACCTTATTCGTCAAGGCAGCGTGTGTGCTGCACAACTATTTTCGAGCTGCACCTACGCTTTTTAAAGCGTCGAGGGAGGACCACCAGCGAAAAGGGACAATCTACTTCGGGCTACGAAGTTCCAAAGGGCGCTCCGGGGCAAGAGCTCTGGATGTGCGTGAGCGCCTACGGAGATGCTTTCATCATCATCATTCATCATTTATTATCCTTGAAGGCCCTTACGGGTATTACATAAGGGAGTAGTACATTTGTTCCTTATTTTTTCTTAATAGAACACTTTCGCACGCAATTTTAACACAATAGAAGAGGGAACTAGTCGGATAAAGCAGAAATGAAAGTGGTTACAGAGGCGGCACATTTACGTGTGTCAGTTATGGCAACAATGTCATTTGGTAGTATGTTCCAATCGTTTATTGCCAAAGGCAAAGTTGAATTACTGTATGAAGTAGTTGACGAAACAATGGGCCGCAACTTGCAGGAGTGATCAAAGCGGGGGAAAATCTTTAATGACGAAGGCGCCGTCGCGTGGCAGAGAGAACAGGCGGGCCTTAATCTGTCCGTCTAGGCAACGCTTGTCTAGTTCCAATACCTCAATTTGACACAGAATAAAATTGATGCCATTCAGGTTTCTCATATGTGACCTGCCACTTCTCTTCCGAAATTGTCAGCGTCGTCGCCAATTTGGTTAGTTGCAAAACTTTCGGCAATTTTAGTGAAAGCAACCGTGCGCTCTTTCCACCCAGAGCTGGAGCAGTCATCTGCTTTCTTTTTTCCGTCATTGCATTTTGGGCGCTTCACAGGAGCGCCAGACACTTCCACATTGGGACTCGTTGTTTCGCGCGCTGTGCGTGCGGAAGACGTGCCAAAGACGGGTTCCCTCATCTCGGTCATAATAGACGCCAATTCTGTCTCACTGTCCATCTGGAAAGGCAAAAGAAATACGAATGCGTTACAGTAGAGAGAGAGAGAGAGAAAACCTTTATTTTCGCTCCGAGTCCGGAGCTCCCGTTACGGTAGAGGAACTCTATGTAAAGCACCGCTCGCACGGCAGAATATCGCAAATGTCGGCCATTTACTGTTCCGAGTATTGAGGGAGAGATAAAGAGAAAGATAGAGAGAGGGAGACAGAGTTTTAGTAGTGAAGGGAGGAGGGCGATTGGTTGCGTGATCAATAGTAGATGTCACCACCATAATATTGCGGGGGAAGCGAGAGTTGTTTTTTTTTTTTTCAAGAGAAGCGGCAGGTCGGACCCATGAAGGCTCACCGGCGGTTGGCCGTTTGACTTGCAAAATTTAAGAAAAAAAAAAGAAGTTTACTCAATGGAGGACCCTGTACACTCCATTTGAGGTCAAAACTGTTTCGTGGCCCTGAAGCTTGTATGAAACTGCATTCCGGCCAAGACACAACGCGCGGGCCGCCGGCAGTCGAACCCTGGGATAGTGTCTCGCATCTTCATCCAGCGACTACCAGCACTTCAAGAGATTTTGATTAATACGAGTGAACGAAACAAAATGCTGAAACGTGTAGAGCAAACCCAGATCTCGGACGTCACTCAAGCTAATGGAATTCGGTGACCTCCATCAACGAACGCTCCCCAACGTTTCATTCCATAGGTCTGAAGAATCAAGTTGAACGAATCGTTGAACCCGCCAAACGTTACCCACTCTATTGGGATCCTGTTGGTAAAACTCGTTTCACTCCCGGTAAAGTACAGGTTTGCTCCGATCCAAGAACAGGAGAGTGCGGAAGAACCTCCATCTGCCGTTGTACGTGTACACTGCAGCTTGGCCGCTCTTCGTCTTCATGATCTTTCCCTTGTCCGGTCTGAAAACGCGTCGCTTATTTAAAAAAAAAAAAGAAAAAACCTAATTTTTTCTGAAATATCAGACAACAATAAGCGGACAAATACAACTCGGAGTCGACACTGACTAGTCTGCCTTCAATGAACTTGCCTTCCGAGTAAGGCCATACTGGGAGTAGCGCCGTTCCATTTCATTGGCAATCTGTTTCCATTAAAAACGAGCGTGTTGGTAAATACAGTGTCGCTTCATTGCTGAGGCCTTCATCGTTGTTGTCTTCAATGCCAGGTTCATCAGGCGTTGGTGGGATTGGAATCGGCCGTCACGTGCGTTGCGTGGCCGTTCTCTTGTAGCTTGGAACGCGGCGAAGCACAACCAAGGCTCTCGGCCCGAGGTGAGAGCGTTGGGAAGTACCAATCCTGAACAGTATAGCTCGTGCAACGAAGGCAGCGAGAAAGGTACGAGCTCGGACTCATAGTTCTCGCCTAGGTTCACGGCAACCATGGAGTATTAATTCGTATGTGCTCGGACTTGTCCGTTGTCACGTCGAAGCCACGTGATACGCATATTTCACAGGTCCGCGGACATCGTTCCCGGAATTCGTCCGCCGTGTGAATGAAATATCGACTTTTTTTTTTTTCTTCTCTCCAACTGACCGCAAAACAAGTTGTGGCGTAATTTTGACGGTCGTGACGTACTCTGGCACAGGAACCAGAAGTTCTCTCGGCAGTAGGAGAATGGCGGCGGCGAGGTTAGGAGTGTGCCGGTAGGTTTTACTGCGCTGATGGTGCTGATGTCACCGACATATTTTCTAAATCGGCGCCTCTCATCGCCTCGATAGCCATAGATACATCGCAGCTGAGCGAGATTCAATTAGATATGTTGCTGGTGTGGGTGACGCGTGCTTGTTGCGACGCTGGTCCAAACGGGGAAGTCTGTGTGTGCTTGGATGCTCCGTGCGATGCTCCTCGGCACCACACTCATCCACAAGTACGCACACTTGGGGGCCTGCAGAGCCGCCCCGAGCTCTTCCCGCGTTCCGCCTTCCGCCGCACCCGCTGTCGCTCCCAACTTTCGCGTCGCGTCCACCCACCGGTCCAGTCTCGGCATACACTGACTTGACTCGGCTCGAAACCAAGCCGAGGTCCTCACATTCCTATTTCTTTCCTCGTCAAAACAACAACAGCAAAAAAAGAAGAAACTGCCCGAGTTGGGGGCAAAAACATTGGGGGTTGGGCCAACAGACGCACCAGCGTACGGGCTTCCGCCTTTCTGTTTCGCCTCGCACGCCCCCAGGAAAACACCTGTCTGTGCAAATAAAGATTATTATTATTATTATTATTATTATTCCGCCGCACCCTCTTTGAGAGCGGACCTCTCCCGCGGTTCCTAATTAGCGGGGGCCGCGAAACAGCACAAGCAGGTGGCCCCAGCTCTCCCGCTCAACCCGCGGGGCAAGGGGGTCCGACAAGCGCTTGCGCTCCCTCACGAAATCTCCAAAATAGAGGAAAAAAGTCGAATTCTGTGACAACGTGGTTCATCGAGTGGCAAGCGGTGAACCTGCAACTGTTTCTTTTAAACCACCAGACTGCAGAAACTGTAATTCGGACACTTCGGTACACTGCAGCCTTTCGCCAAGCGATCGATCACAAACGCCGCCGACCAGGAGCAAATCCGTTCAGCAGACGACGCTCGGGGATCGACTGCGCAAGCGCAGTAGGGTCTTTCTATTGCTTCGTTTGCCCTACGATAGATGGCGCTTGGCTCTGAGCATTATCAAAGTCGTCAATTTTCGTGAAATCTCTAATTATTGTTCAACATGTAGATCTGAATATTATTTAACAAAACTTTTAAGAAACATTCGTAAGTTATTTATTGTTTATGATCGCGGTGCTGGTGAGGTAGGCTCTTACCCAATAGGCGACCTGTATTTTGCTGACGTGCTACGGTTCCGCGGAAGCATCGCTGTGAAAAGGCAGAGGGCTTTCGAAGGAAAGAAGGCCCAAAATAGTCCAGTTTTTTTTTTTTAAAAACTTCTATATCGACGAATTTTCTTTAGCTCCCGATTTTTTAGTTCTTTTTCACACCTTTTGCGACGTGCGTTGGGTGAAATTCGATTTTAAAATCGTTTCATGGTCCCTTTAAAGAATCGGCAAATTGCCACACGCCGATGGGAACACGTAGAGTAACTGTATGGGCCCCGCTTCCGGAGCAGAGTATCTCCATATTGTACTCAAGGCGGCCATGCTGAATGCAAGGCTGCACTGCGGGAAGCGACCTTCGCTTCCTTAGGAGAGCTGGGGGCGTGGATAGGCCTCCTGCGCTGAAGCTCTGAACAACCCGTGGCGATCTCATTTTGGGTAGTGCAAGCTCACCTGATTGGGCCTCGTACTACTTGCGGCGTTTTCATTGACATTTTGTCTTTTTGTGTAGTGCTGAAGAACGGAAAAAACGCCTTTCGACGTCCGAAGTCGTCTAGATTCAACGCCGTAAGACAAGAGAAATTTCCAGATTCATACCAAAACCGTCTGGGTGGTTACGTCAAAACATCTGGCGTACAAACGTTTTCTTTCCTCCCGCCTTTTTTTTTTTTTTTTTTTTTTTTTTTTTTTTAACGTGGCACGGCGTTTTTCGGTTCACGCTGTAATTGTCTTAGCGTAAACCTGTGCCTTGACGGCGTTAGCATTTGTTTATTTGTATTTTCATCCTTATCGCGTTCCGCGCCAAAGCAGGCACGCTTGCACCTATGTGACAGTTGGAGACGCTCAAGTCTGTACTAACAAGTCCATTTTGACAGCGCTTCCTGGGCAACGCAGGAGGCCTATGGCGTGGCTGCGTGCTGCGGCGTGCGGAGCGGAGAAAATATAGTGCGGCGACACGCCACGCCAGCTCCATCGTCCCGTTGTTTGTCTCCCGTTTCTCTCTATGCCCTCGGTAGAATGTAGTAACCGACGAAAACGTCGTTCCTTCACAAGCCATAGCTGCGCGCTGTTTGGTGGTCCGAGGTGCCCGGATGTGCCGGTCGCTTATCGCTCCGCGAGCGCCGCAGACGCGAGCAACGCGATCGTCCTCCGTGCCGTCTGCTTCTCAGACTTCGGAAACATGTTTTAAATTGTCACTCGCGTTTTACAACAACGCGATTATAATGTACCCAGCTGCTACACACAACGTTCAATGGTTAAGGAACCTTCCAGTTTGTTCCATTTTAGTGTAGGACGCTGGGCTGAAATATCTGTCTTCCTCGCGCAGGTTCCGGCTGCGACGCAGGTGACTTCCAAGCGTGCATTCCGATCCGTCAGCATCCAGAGTCCACGCTTTTTTGTTGTTTTTATCATCCGTAGGTCGCGGGTGTGAAAGTACTGCTGACTAAAAAAGCTCGCCAAAGTCAGGCTGTTCGGACTCCGGGCGACGAGCCACGCGCATTCGAGATATTACTCCGCGGGTCCACCGGTCGGAGGCACGAATATCCTTTGCTTGCTATTGACTGGCAATGGCCCTGATTTTTTAACATGCTCCTCCCATCAGCTGAAATGACCTCGGTGTGTTGCGATCTTTAAATTTTTTTTTTCAATAGGCAAATCACCGGCGTATCATCATTAATTAGGGATTTGGGATTTCCAGGTTGCTTAAAGCTAGCAGAGTGAGGTATACGCCATATAGGCGATATCAGAAACCTTCTCAGGATGTAGTTTCCTTTTCTTCACGCAGACTCCTGGCGAAGCATCAAGACGTTATTCTAGCGGGAAAACAGGATGCACAGGTCTACGTTCCAATGTCTGGGAAGGCTCCAGAGCTAAAGTGGTAAGGACTCATTTGACTGCACTTTTCTATCTCGTGGCACCAGGGCTCAGACATGAATTGCAGAGGTGAGCGAAAACTACAGGCACGAGATCGCCTTTTTCAAAAGCGCTTTCGCGAAACGGGCGTCCGCACCAGCATGACTCTTTTCAAAGTAGGTAGCGCGGCCTGGATCGCGGTCTTTACCTTCCCATTCTGCAGCCATGACCAGGCAAGTAGCCAGGATTTTGTTTCGGGGGGGGGGGGGGGGGGGGGGGCACCGCTGGAAGAAACAAACGGAGCGGTCGGTTTGGAGGGTGGATGGATGGATGAATACGGCTGAGCCCTTTGGATCGGGCGGTAGCTTACGCCACCTAGCCATTTTGTTTTACCATTTAAGCTTAGAATATTTAAATGTGAAATCTATATTCACTCCGGGATCCGATACTTGGGCGCCACCTATCCCCGTGCGAGCGAAGTGCGCTCGGTGCGCCGAACATAATGTTTCCGCCGCGTCGGACAGAGAGTCATCGCCTAAATGTTCCTCCCACGGTGGATGGAATTGATCAAAAACGAGCTTAGAAATTGGTATTGTAACTACGATTTTTAAATTGTGGTACGGGTTAATAGTACTGCGTTTTTCTGTTTATTTCGTGCTTTGCATTATTTGATATTGCTAGGGGTTTCTCTGGTGGTTGTCAGGTCACGCCTACAAGCACTCACGTGCTTTTGCGGACCTGTTTGCAACTATGTGTATTTTTTCATGCAATAAAGATATATTATATATTAAAGCAGCACCATATTTTAACATCGTTTACGGACGAGGTGGTCCCTGACCAACCGACTTCTTTCAAATGAACAGTATAAAAGATGCCTAGGTAGCCATTGGGGGCAGCGATCGGGTTAGCGTGTCGTTGCGTGTATCTCCGTCCGTGTCTTGGTCTTCTGTTTTTAAAATTCCTTGTCTCTTGTCTCTTGTTCCTTGTCGCGCGTGTTGCATAACACGCGCGAAAATGTGAAAAATAATGTTCCGCAAACGCGAATGTAAGCAGTGTGGAGAAATATCTACAATATTTGTTTGCCAATCTTCAATTTGGCTTTGGCTAGCGCCACCTGGGTCTTGCGAAAGTTAGTACCAGTTACTAGCCAAATGTAGTAAACATTACTAGGTTGGTTTGTAACCGTTACTAGCGTCTTGGCCTAGTAACCATTACTACTTTGACCGTTACTACTCGCGGTTACTAGTTACCTGGCAACGTATGTGACAAGCGCTTACTAGCTTTTACCTAGTAACCACTACTAGACTTTTTTTTTCTTCATAACAATGTACATCGTTCAAAGGACAGGGTTTTCACTGCGCGAACGGTTTTAACATTTGTAGAGGACAAAAAAGCGTTTCCTGAGATTTCAGATTAAGCTTCAGATAACTGGCTGGGAGGAGTCTCATGTACCCTGCACCGCCAGTAGTAGAATCCTGTAGCGGATGATACGAGTTCTGTGATATTGGGTGATAATGGATGCTTTGAGACTTTATCCTATACAAGTGGAGAACGAACTATAGGGAGCGCTCTGACACCTTTGTTATCTCCACACCTCGGTGTTTGCCCAACACAAGGCCTGTGTACATGCCCACAGGTCTTGTGGGCATATTGACCTCACCATGTTGACGCCATCTTCTTCAATAGAGCGCGGGGCACAGTGCATCGTAAGTATACTAACAATAAACGAAGTGGCGTTTATTGTTAGTGCCCGATCTCTCCCGAAAGCATTTGTCGAAAAATGCGAGCTTGACCCATTTCGGCTTTTGTGCCTAGCTCGGCATATTCAGCGTGCATGCTGCATTGCAACTCCAGGTCAACGCTGACGCGGCGTTCGGTTATGTTAGCCGAGCGCTGAGTCATTGTTATTTCTTGTCACCGTCCGTGTAGTACTAAAGTTAACCACTTGGGGCGCCACGGTCTGATCTCCCCAATAGGGAAGCGTTGAGTTGGATGCATTATCCTGGCATTCAAGCTAGTACTTTACATAGAGCAGACATGTGTTCTTTTTTTATTATTAATCGGGAGTGGAACCTGAATAAGATGTGTCAAGCAACAGAAGAAGCTTGCATGACACCTCATATTGTTAAGGAAAAAAAAAGTGAAAGCCGTTTGAACTCCCTGTAACGCCGAATTAGAGCGCAGCTCTTGTGGAGGAGGAGGGAAGGGTACTGAGGGGTGGGTCAACTGACCGGGGGGGGGGGGGGTCACGTGACCTGGGGGTCTCGTGACGATGACAATGCCGATGATGTCATCACTGACGTCACTGATGACGTCATCAGTGACGATGATGATGCGGATACCGATGACGTCATTAGTGACGTCACTGATGACGTCACCAGTTATGATGACGATGCGGATGTCGGTGACGTCATCAGTGATGATGACGATGCGGATGCCGGTGACGACATCAGTGACGTCACTTATGACGTCATCAGTGATGATGACGATGCGGATGTCGGTAACGTCATCAGTGATCAGTGAGGATGATGATCACGATGCGGATGCCGGTGTCGTCATCAATGATGATGACAATGTGGATGCCGGTGACCTCATCAGTGATGATGACGATGGCGATGAGGATGCCGGTGACGTCATCAGTGACGATGACGTCATCGGGGGTCACGTGACCTCGGCGGGGGTCACATGACCTTGGGGGTCACGTGACCTCGGGGGGGTCATGTGCCCCCTCCGAGGTCACGTGACCCCGGGGGGGCTCGCGCGGTGCATTATGGGACATTTCCCACGATGCACCGCGCGGTTACGCCGACGCCGACGGCGACGCCGTTCAAGCCGGAAACGGGCGCCTAAGAGCTGCGCTCTAAAAAGTGAAAGCCGTTTACAACTCCCTGTAACACCGAATTAGAGCGCAGCTCTTGGAGGAGGACGAGGGAGGGGTACTGGGGGGGGGGGGGGGGGTGAAGTGACCTGGGGGGGTCACGTGACCTTGGGGCTTCACGTGACGATGATGTTATCAGTGACGTCACTGATGACGTCATCAGTGACGATGACAATGCGGACTCCGATGACGTCATCAGCGATGATGACGATGACGATGCGGATGTCGGTGACGTCATCAGTGATGATGACGATGACGATGCTGATGCCGGTGAGGTCATCGGTGACGTCACTGATGACGTCATCAGTGATGATGACGATACGGATGCCGGTGACGTCATCAGTGACGATGACGTCATCGGAAAGGTCACGTGACCTCGGCGGGGTGTCGCGTGACCCTGGGGGTGGTCACGTGACTTCGGGGAGTGTCACGTGACGCTGAGGGACCCAAGGTCACGTGACCTTGGGGGTCACGTTACCTTGGGATGACCTTGGGGTCACCTTGATTACGCCGACGACGACGGCGACACCGACGCCGACGCCGCTCAAGCCGGGAATGCGCCCCTAAGAGCTGTGCTCTAAAATGAAAGCCGTTTACAACTCCCTGTAACGCCGAATTTGAGCGCAGCTCTTGAGGAGGAGGAGGGAAGGGTACTGGGGGGGGGGGGGTCAGTTGACCTCGAAAGGGGGGGATCACATGACCTGGGGGGTCACGTGACCTGGGAGATCACGTGACCTCGGGGGGAGGGGTCACGTGACTTGGGGGTCATGTGACGATGACGTCATCAGTGACGATGACGATGCGGATGTCGATGACGTCATTGGCATCCGGATCGCCATCGTCATCATCACTGATGACGTCATCAGTGACGTCACTGATGACGTCATTGACATCCGGATCGCCATCGTCATAATCACTAATGACGTCATCAGTGACGCCACTGATGACGTCATCGTCATCCGTACCGTCATCGTCATCATCACTGATGACGTCATCGTCACGTGACCCCCCAGGTCACTTGACCCCCCCCCCCCCCCTAGGTCCTCCCGAAGGAACCCGAGTTCCTCCCGAGGTCCTCCCGAAGGAGCCCGAGGTCCTCCCGAGGTCCTCCCGAAGGAACCCGAGGTCCTTCCGAGGTCCTTCCGAGGTCCTCCCGAAGAAACCCGAGGTCCTTCCGAGGTCCTCCTGAAGGAACCCGAGGTCCTCCCGAAGGACCTCGGGTTCCTTCGGGAGGACCTCGGAAGGACCTCGGGAACCCGAGGTCCTTCCGAGGTCCTTCCGAGGTCCTCCCGAAGAAACCCGAGGTCCTTCCGAGGTCCTCCTGAAGGAACCCGAGGTCCTCCCGAAGGACCTCGGGTTCCTTCGGGAGGACCTCGGAAGGACCTCGGGTTTCTTCGGGAGGACCTCGGAAGGACCTCGGAAGGACCTCGGGTTCCTTCGGGAGGACCTCGGGAGGACCTCGGGTTCCTTCGGGAAAATTTACCCATAATGCGCCGCGCGGTTACGGCGACGGCGACGGCGACGGCGACGGCGACGCCGCTCAAGCCGGAAACGGGCGCCTAAGCTGCGCTCTAAAAAACACAGCAATCTTCTTGTTGCTTTTTGTGCTAACACGGCTGTGCGCTATCTTATTATGGTCGTAATTTTGGCACAGCAAAAGCTTATTCAAGACAGAAACGATACTTATATATGTAACTTATTAATTGTCGTTGCAGGTTCTACGACAAGGGTCATCGCGTCGTTGGTGTGGAGTTTGTCGAATCGGCTGCCAGGGGCAGTTTAGTCGAAATTGGCCTTCCTCTCGAAGAAGCCGAGTGCCCTGTACTCAAGTGGAAGATATTTCAGGTAGAGTTCCTATTCGTATGAAAAATTATATAGCACATTCCTTCCGAATAGATATGCCAGCCACGACAAAAGGAGTAATTTTTCGCATAAATGGATGGATGAATCAATCAACTAATCAATTCATGTTTTGTTGGCTTTAGGAAGGGATTGCACGAGCACGAAGTAAAAAAAAAATCTATGATTAAATAGTGGTGGTGGTGGAAAACCTCTTTATTGGTCCTGCGAAAACCCCTACCCCTCCGTCACCCCTTCACCAACACACCTACGCACAGTCTGCCGGTGAAGCAAGCGCCGGGTTCGCTGGACGAAACCCCTTTGTCCCTCCAAGTCCACACACATCACACCATCCTTGAAGTCCTCCGGCCAGTCCTGGGTCCCCGATGCCTCATGCCCCCGTTGTTCACAGTCCCACACAATATGCTGCAGCGTTGCCCGACTGTCCTTACATACCCTGCACAAGTCACTCTCAAAATTCCCTGGGTCCACATGTCTCCCCAACACCGGGGTATACACACACATCACCTGCAACTGCCTAAAAAGCACCGCATCCTCCCGACACAAATCCTTGAGGTTCCGGGAACCTCCTCCTATCCCGTCTGCAACATTCAAGATACTCTCCATAACCCACCGGCACATACGTCCCCTCCTGCGAAGCCCGGCCTAAGAGTCCTCGGGCGCAGCAGTCGGCCATATCATTCCCCACCTCATGTGCAGGGCTCCATATTAGTTCCACTTGTCCCTTCACGCTGATCAACCTCTTAGCCCTCTCACTCACCGTTCCATTCATGAAGCGCCTGACAACCCCCATTGCATCACTAAATACCTTCCTTACACCCTCGATAGAAATTGCCATTGCAGCCGCCACCTCCTCAATTTCTTCCGCACTGTCACATCTCAATCCCGACGCTGTAACCACCCTACCATCTTTACCCGCCACAACCACAGCCACCCCCCGGTCCCCATCAAAAGCTCCGTCCACATAAACACTACCCTCCTCCTTCCCATACAGCCTATACAGCGCCTGCGCCCTTGCCTGCCTACGCCCCTTATCCCGTTCTGGATGCATGTGCCTCGGCACCGGCCTAACCCTCAACCTCCTCATGTCCTCATCCTTAATCCTTTCCAATCCCCCCCTGCCAGCCTCAGCACCCACCCCCACCCTGCTCAACACCCTACGCCCCACCGCAGACCCCCTCAACCTCTCCGTCTGCGAGATCCTCTGCGCTTCTATCACCTCTTCCAATGTATTATGCACACCCAATCGCTCCATCATCTCCGTGCTAGTACATGCCAGCAACCCAATCGCCGCCTTATATATCCTACGTATCAGAGCATTAATCTTCCCTTTCTCCGTCACCCCCCACTTCAGATACCCAGCCACATACGCGATGTGGCTCATCCCAAAAGCCTGCACCAGCCTCAAAACACTCTCCTCCTTCATACACCTCCTCCTACTAGCCACCCTCCTAACCATCTGCATCGCTGCCCCGACCTTCCTTTGCAACTTATCCAACATCACGCCATTACCCCTAGCCTCCTGTAACCACAGTCCCAACACTCTCAGCTCCTTAACTCTAGGTATCATTCCCCCATTCGCCCTCAACTCCACATCCTGCCATCTCCTACTCCTCGGCCCCACCACAACATACGCCGACTTCTCATGATTGCACTCCAACCCTGTACCCGCCAACTCTTCCTCAATAGCATCAATTCCTCGTTGCAACGTATCTCTAGTCTCCTCCACGCCCTTACCAACACACCACAACGTCAAGTCATCCGCATAAATGGAGTGACCGATCCCTTCTCTCGTTAACCTCTTCCCCACCTTTGCCATGACCAAATTAAACAACATTGGCGAGATAACCGCGCCTTGCGGCGTACCTATACATCCCAACCCCCTCTTCCCAACCTCGTACTCCCCAGCAACCAATTCCGCGCTCCTCCCAGTCAAGAAGCTCCTCACATACTCATAGCTCCTCTTCCCCAACCCCAACTCCGACATTCTTTCTAATATGGCCGAATGCTGCACCCTATCAAAGGCACTCTTGAGATCCAATCCCAACACAACCCCCACTTTCCTCGACTGCACAACCTCATGCTTAAGTAACAACATTGCATCCTGTGCACACAACCCCTCCCTAAATCCGAACATAGTATCACTAAACACCCCCCTCCCTTCCAGAAAATTATTCCACCTTCGCAATACCACGTGCTCCAAAACCTTACCAACACACGACGTAAGCGAAATCGGTCTCAAATTCTGCACCCCCACCGGTTTATTCGGCTTAGCCAACAACACCATCCTAGCCGTTTTCCATTCTTCAGGCACCTCCCCGCTCTCCCAACACCTATTAAACAGCCCCGTGAGCACCTCAACAGCTTCTTCCCCCAAGTTACGCAGCATATTGTTACTAACCCCATCCGGCCCTGACGCAGACCTCGTTTTCACCCTCTGCAACGCCGCCCTCACTTCCCACGTCTCCACAGCCCTATCCAGATCCTCATTCACCTCCCCCTTATAGCCCGGAAAATTCACTCCCCCCACCCTAGGAAGGTACTTGTCCATCAGAGCCCTCCTAAACCCCTCCTCCCCCAATTCCTTCCTAGCTCCATACAGAGCCTCACCTAACCTTCCCCTTTGATAACTACGAGTCCGCGTCCCATCCAATAAATGCCTTAACAACCTTCATGTTCGAGGACTGTTTTTCAACTTTTTAAGAGTATACCCAAGTCTACGTCCGAGTGATTTGATTTGTGAAATATAAGCTGACTTCATGTCAATGCGGGGCCACATTCCATGTTGAAAGAGTAAAGCAAAAAGGCCGCAGACCAATTTTATTGTCCGTGAACATAAAATGGAATTCTGCTGAGTAGCAGGTGAGAATAAATTACAACGTTGGGAAACCTTTTACAGAAACAGAATATTGTAAACTAGATGTCTATGCAAAAGGCGGGAAAGACCAAGAGTATCAGAAGGTGACCACAATCATAATTGTGGCGAGCCCTTAGAATAGGGCGGTCACTGCATCACCTAGCCACACTTTTATTTTGATCTCTAGTACATAAAGCTACATAAATAACTAAGGTTAAGCATTTATTAGTGCAAAGACATGTTAGCTACGCCTTAGAAGCATCGTCACCACAGGTGGAAAGGATGTTGACGATAATTATGACGATGGGTAACATAAGGTTGGGACCTTCTATGTGGAATATTTGCTAAACGCACACGATAAAAATATGTTATTACCTAGCATTCAACGTGGGAAGCCGCCTTACGAATATTATAAGAACACGTTATAGCAACACCCTTATGACGCTAATGAGTACAGTGAAAAAGGAAGGTGCTGACACTTTAGGGACATTTTTCTCATAAAATATTACGTCTAATACCTTGTTCATACTGTTTCACTGTATTTTATACTGTGTTTACTAGGAAATACCAAGACAATCATCTACGAGTGGCCGACTACGCAATTATGAAGGTTGCACTATAGGTTCCTTGGTTCTCGTAAATACTTTACGTGGATACGCACCTTCCGCGGATGCATCTTTAACACAGAACTTCCGCGAATGGATCTTTAAATTAGGCGCGCTGGTAGTACATGCAGTAATAATGCAATGGTCACACAACCAGTTTTATTAAACCACCACTACCGCTATGCATCGTGGGACCTGTCATAGCCTCCTCTATATATACTCACAAAGCCTGGCAGTTTGACGACGGAGCCATAGAGTGCCCGGTCGCGCAGACATGAAGCGTGAGGATCTGGTAGCGCAGAGCATACCTCGGGGAACCTGGTCTTCAGTGCACATCTTTTGCAGCGGCGAGGACCCTAAACATGATTTTAAAAACCGACGAGAAAAGAAGCGGTGCCGCGAGGAACGCGAGGAGCACGCGCGGACATCCCATCGCTCCGGAGAAGTGTGTTTTGGCGTCCGCCGCAGCGGGGCGTCCGTCACGTGGCTCTCCTAAAGCCGCTTTATCCTGGGAAAAGTGGCGCCATTCATTGTTGTGGGCATGCTCGAGGCACGTGCCGCGCGCCACTTCTGGTGAATTCATGGCGTCTGAAGTCCAGCTCAGTGCTGCGCTCTGCCGCCGTGATCTTCCCAAGGGCTGCACGTTGCACGTGCCTCGTGCATCCACGCACCTTGCGCTACTTTTGAAACATGAAGGGGCTTTAGGTTCTCCTCTCGTTTGTTGTCTGTTGCTCTGCCTTTTCAAGTTCGGCGGCTGCGTCTCGTGGCGATCTGCCAGGCTTTGTCAGAATAGAGGAGGTGGTGGTGGTGATGTCCCGCGTGCAGTCTTTCTGCACGCGGGACATCTCCGCTGAAGATCAGCGCGAGCAGAGTTACGAGGCGGTGGTGGTGCTGGTGCGCAAACTGTCAACAAGCTACTGGAGATGGGTATCAGCGCAGTCAAGACCCTTCAAAAATGGGTGTTCTCCTTTACTTTAGCACACCCTCCCACACGCTTTTCAGACCTTTCAAAAATGAAGGGTGTTCCTTGGAGCAGCACCTTATTTTGTGATTAAGGGTAAACCTTTAGAAATAAAGGTGATAAATGGATAAATTAATTGGTATGTCTTTGAAACACTGTTTTGGCATCCTGTCAAGTATTTCAGTGTATAGGTGGCTCGCACATACGCAGTCCTCTTCTCGGAACTGGTTCGTTGCATCTATACTGAGAAAGTCGTGTCTTCTTATACTCCACGTTTCTTCACAGACTCCGGATAAGAGGTTCCGAATATTTGTCTGCAATGTGCTCGACTTTAACAAGTAAGTGCTCTACCACTCTTACACTTACTGTGTTATAGCTCAAGGTCGGAGAAAATCTCTACTAGGAAAAATTATCAGACCTCTGTGAATCCACACTATACAATCACCGCAACAGCTGCGACACCTCATCAGGGGCTTTGTATCTTGCAGTAAACGTGTAATGACCTCATGATGAACTTGTGATGACGTTGTGAATAATCTGGCTATGCCTCGTGACACAACTGCGCGCGTGCGGCAACAAGTTTATTTATTTATTTACTTATTTATGTATTTATGTTATTTTCCTCAAAAATGAGAGGTGGGCATTGCGCAGCAAAGCAGCAAAAATTCCAAAAACCTGTAAACAAAATACATAAAAATACAAAAATACAAAATACAAAAGCACACAAATTTACGCATGAATTTCATCATTATGAAACTCTGACTAATCCAGCGCTATAAGAGCTTCTTTGAATTTATTCAAGTTCCTAAGCTGCGCTATGTTTTGAGGAAGATCGTTCCAATTTTTGGCTGTTTTAATAAAAAAGGAATTTGCTAATCGATCTGTGTTTGGGTTAGGATTTGACACTTGTTGGGTGTTGCTAATGAGACTTGAAAAGTGCGAACGGAGCGTGATGTAATGGTTGGGTGACAACGTGATTTAGCAGTTGGGTGACGCAGGTAAAGGACGAGAAGTCGGAGTATGCGAATCTTACAGCACGATTTTGAATGGCTTCCAACTTTTCGATAAGATAATTTTGGTATAGATCCCATATCGCTGCGGCATATTCTAGTTAGGGCGGATGTGTGTTGTATAGGCGAGCAGTTTCAAGTGAGGAGGAGCGAATTTTATGGTACGTTTTAGATAATCAAGGGATTTACTTGCGGTGGAAATTACACTGTTTATGTGGTTGGACCATGAAAAGTATTTACTGAAGTCCACGCCTAGGTATTTGTAAGTACAAGCTGATTGTAGGACAGAACTACCGATGGAGCAATTATAAGTAAATGGATTGGTGTGCTTGTGAAAGGAGACAAGTTTACATTTTGAAACATTTAAGGAAATTTGCCATTTATTACACAATTTTTTTATAACTGAAAGGTCTGCCTGCAATGTTACTTGGTCGTCGTAACTGTTAATTTTGGAATATAAGACGCACTCATCGGCCAAAGAGGAGGATGTTATTAGATACACAGAGTGGCAAATCATTAATGTATATCAAAAAGAGAAGAGGGCCAAGCACGTTGCCTTGAGGGACACCCGAGAGAACGGGGCATGTGTTAGAGGGGGTGCCATTTACGATGACGAACTGATTTCTGTTAGAAAGGAAGTTGTTAATCCAGGATAACACCAACGGGTCTAGGTTAAGCAGGGCAAGTTAGTCGTCGATGCGGGACTTTGTCGAACGCTTTTTCGAAATCAAGAAAAATGGTGTCTGTCTGTGTGTTATTGTGGAAATTAATATGTAGGTCGTAAAGGAATCCGGCTAGTTGTGTTTCACAAGATAGACCCCTACGGCAACCGTGTTGTGAAGGGTGTATGAAGTTGTTGCGCTCTAGGTGATTGACACTTTTTGTGAAAATTATGTGTTCCAAAATTTTTGACGGCACGCTTGTCAAATATATGGGCCAGTAATTATATGGTGAAGACCTGGCACCGGATTTGGGGATTATAATGATCTTACCTAACTTCCACTGAACGGGTACGTGACCTGTTTCGAGCGATTGAGAGAACAGTAAGGCGAGAGTGTCGCTGCTTACCACCTTTGTGTTTTTCAGTATTTTGCAGTTAGTGTTGTCTGGTTCAGCAGCTGATGAAAGTTTCATAGTGTTAATCACACTGACTATGTCGTTGTAGTTAACTACAACGGCGTAGTCAGTTAACTACAACGGCATTGTCAATGTTGGAGACATAGCTTCAGGAATCACTCTGTCGGTAGCAGTTGGGGGGGGGGGGGGGGGGGGGTCAGGCTGCGCTCTTGCGTAAAAACGGAGCAGAACGCATTCTTTAACGTATTTGCACATTCACTGTTACTTAAGGGCTCATCGGAATTACCATGTAAGTAGATTGAAGTTACGGCTGAAGGGTTTACAGTTTTCCAAAACCTTTTGGGGCTATTCTTAAGCATACTGGGTAGAGGGGTTCCAAAAAGGCTCTGCTTATCTTTGCGAACTGCATTTGTAAAATGTTTTTCTGCTTCATAATTGAGTAGCCACGTAGCAGATATGTTTTTTGCTTTGGCTAATCTAAATAAACGCTTTTTTCGTTGTTAATTTTTCTAATTGCATTGTTAAATCATGTGGTAGGTGATTTGCTTTTACTGGTGATGGTTGGTATAAATTTATCTACTAGCTCGTTCAGTTTGTTACAAAATAGGTACCACTTTTCATCGACATCGCGATGGTGAAAACTTCGCTCGTATGAGAAATAGAAGTTTTCAAGTTCTCTGTTTATGACTTTGTGATTTCCGCGGTCATAAATATTGATTTGCTTGGTTATGGGTTCCTCGTTCTAAAGAAATAATTTGAAAGTAGCCAGAATTACTTTATGGTCGCTTAGTTCTTTAACGTAATACAGGGATTGCAAGTTGCTTGGGTTTGTCATGAGTATTAAGCCTAGTATGTTCGAATTATGCGCAGTCTGTCTTGTTGTTTGCGTGATCATTTGAGTGAGTTGGTAGTTCTGTATGTAGTTTAAAAATTCACCATTCTTTAGAGCTGACACGAGATACATCTGACCAATTTATGCTTGGATAGTTGAAGTCACGGCAGATTATAAATTGTACTCTTGGGTACTTTATATGCAAGCAGTCTAAAAGCGTCATTAAATTGTCTTGCAAATTCGGAGTCCTGCTTTGGCGGGCGCGAGCCCACACCTAAAACGATAAGATTACGTGGACCTTCGCATGCTATTCCCGTTCCGAGTCGAGTTTTGCGTGTTTCTCCAACTTTCCATTTTAATCATATCATACAAACCAGTCCCATGACCCGTATTCAACACTTCTATAATACCCTCAGGGGAGCAGATATTGATGTTTTTAACCCAAATTTCGTAGCTTTTAAGACTTTTGTAACTAACCTGTGAACATTTTGTTGTGCATCATTACCAAGGCGTCAAGCTGTTCATGAGCACAAAAAATAAATAAACAAATGAATGAATGAATGCTATCAAGACCATTTCTAAAGGGCTGTCAACGTCCACTCTATGATGACGGATTGCATTTTTTATCGCGATTAAGACACCCCCACCTGTCGTTGATGTGCAGTCTTGTCGATATAAAAGAAACTCGGGTAGGAGCGGGGTAATTTCCAAGCCTGTGATAGCATGCGTTTGCCACGTTTCTGTAAGTATAACAATGCCACATTCAGATGATTAGATTCGATTACATATTTGTTCTTGTTTTGGCGTGACATTCCGAATGTTCGAAAAAAGGGCTGAAAATGAGCTGTCATTTGTGTTGCAGTGCGTTTTATTTATGCTTATCTGAGCACACTGAGGTACGTTTTGTGCTCCGTAAAGTATACGCTGAGTAGGGCATGCGGTGAGACTCGGGTGGCATGATGCGCCTTCACAGCAAATGCGGCCATCTATAGATGGCCGCAGTTGCAATGAAGTCTCGCGTGACTCCCTCTATAGAGGGCGCCACGCGAGACTGAAATGCGTAGCTTTCTTCAACAGATGCATTTTTTTAGGCAGCGCGTTGAAACAGCTGACGTGATTCTAGCGCGCTCGATTACGAATCAACGAACTCGGAACCGAATCCTAGGAAAACCGCGGCCGGTTTGGGGTATTTCCCTTTTCAAGCACTTGGTGATATGGACGGCTAATGCCCTACGTTCCTCGGAACGTGTGTACGTGTGTGATTGTGTGTGCATGTATGTATGCGTGTTTGTGTGTGTGTGTGCGTGTTTGTGTGTGTGTGTGTGTGCGCGCGCGTGTGTAGGGGGAGCCCAACGTATAGGAAATATACACTGGCAGCCATAGCTGTGTGCGCGAATGCTGAGCGCGTGCTGATGTTGAGCTTCCACAGTTCACTTTTACAACGTGCATTCCACATCCTCACAATCGCCGGTCTTATCAGCCTACTAATGTCAGTTCATTCTGAGCTTGCGCTGTAAACGGCGCCCTCAAATATGACGTCCAGTGAATACCCCCTTTTCGGAAGAGGGAGCTGAATAGCCTGGCTATGAGAACCCCCCCCCCCCCCCTCTCCCCTGAACTTGAGGTTTTGTGCTGTACATTGACACTAATGCGCATACCATGGTGTTACGTAACGCAACGCCTGCGGTGTACAGCACGTTTTTTCTCCTTGAGCACAAAACCGATTGTCACAACTTTTGGCCTACAAGTGTTCCATGCGTGTTCTATAAAATGACCTCCTTTCTGGAAGCAGAGGTTCATTAAAAAGGATATAATGTACGGCGCAGCTTGCCGGGAACTCTTAGTTTCCTGATTAGAATACAAACGAACATATTAGAAATTCTGCAGTGGTTAGGGTCAAGTGTAGTTTATTTATTTATTCTTGTTTCTAATAGCACAGCAGTAATCCTGTCCACAAGCCTGCATGTTATAGCTAAGGGACAGATGAGCTGGCCAAGTTACTTTTGTTTTGAAACTAAATTACAATCCTAATTACTTTGCCTGAAACAACCAGATTGTAATGAAATTGCATTACAAATTACCAGGGTGGAAATTTAAATAATTACAATTACCAAGTTACTTTTATAAAGTAATGACGTAACTTGCAAGTTACTTTTCCATTGTGATATGAAAAAAAGAGTATTCATACCAATTATTTTATTTTCTGTAATTACACATAACTACAGGCCACTGGTATACAAAGCGTTTGCCTGCTTTGCTTCCCCTTCTCCGATATAGTTTTACAAAGAAAACGAAAAAGAAATGTTTAGTACCTGCCCAATAGTTCTCTTGCGACTAAAAATAGCATCACAATTGAGGAAACAGACGGCAGTAGATGCACACTTGTGAAAACTTGTTCTGTTTAACTCCTGCTGCACAA